CTGTGATATACCTGCCAAAAGTGTATATCCTGAAGCTAACCACGAGAAAACAGACAAATCTATTGAGCAACATTCTATAAAATAAGTAGCCTGTACATCTAAAAACATATCAAATGTCATGAAGACAAAGAGAGCCTGTAGAGTTCTTCCAGATTAAACATGCATAAAAAGACAAAACTAGATGCAATGTGTGATGCCGAACCAGGAAAAAATGCAATAAAGGACATTTTTGAGACAACTTGCATAATGTGCAAAAATATAGACTACAGCATTGTATCTATGTTAAATTTCCTTATTTTAACAATTGTACCAAGGTTTTTATTTTTTAAAAAAGAGAATATTCTAGTTCCTAAAAAAAACCATACTGAAGTATTCAGGGATAAAAAGCTACGTGTCCGCATCTGATATATATGTTGCTGTTAGGTGCCATCAAGTCGTCTCTGACTCATAGTGACCCTATGTTCAACAGAACAAAACACTGCCCGGTCCTGTGCCGGCCCCACGATCCTTGCTATAGCTGAGCCCATCATTGTAGCCACTGTGTCAATCCATCTTGTTGAGGGCCTTCCCCTTTTCTGTTAGCCCTCCATTTTACCAAACAGGATCTCCTTCTCCAGGGTATGGTCCCTTCTTACAACATGACCAAAGTAGGTGAGACAAAGTCTTGCCATTCTCATATCCAAGGAGTATTCTGGCTTCACTTCTTCCAGGACAGATTTGTTAGCTCTTTTAGTAGTCCACTTTCAGTATTCTTCTCTAACACCACAACTCAAAAGCATCAACTCTTCTTCAGTCTTCCTTATTCACTGCCCAGCTCTCATATGCATATGAGGCAACTGAAAATACCATGGCTTGTGTCAGGCACACCGTAGTTTTCAAGGAGATATCTTTGCTATTCAGCACGTGAAAAAGGTCTTTTGCAGCAGATTTGCCCAACGCACTGTCGTCTGATATCCTGACTACCGCTTCCATTGGTGCAAAACCAAGTAATATAAAGTCTTCGACAACTGCAATCCTTTCTCCATTTATCATACTGCTGCATATTGGTCCAGTTGTGAGGATTTTTGTTTTGTTTATATTGATGTGTAACCCATACTGCCGACTGTAGTCTTTCATCTTCATCAGTAAGTGCTTCAAGTCATCCTCACTTTCAGTAAGCAAAGTTGTGTCATCAGCATATCGCAGGTTGTTAATGAGTCTTCCTCCAATCTTGATGCCACATTCTTCTTCCTATAATCCAGCTTCCTGGATTATTTGCTCAGCAAACAGACTGAATAAATATGGTGAAAGGATACAACTCTGATGCACTCCCTTCTTGATTTTAAACGATGCAGTGTCTACTGTTCTCTTCAAACGACAGCCTCCTGGTCTATGTACAGGTGCTTCATGAGTACAATTAAATGTTCTGGAATTCCCATCCTTGTCAATGTTATCCATAATTTGTTATGATCCACAAAACTGAATGCTTTTGCAGTCAATAGAATATAAGTAAATATCTTTCTGGTATTCTTTGCTTTTAGCCAAGATCCATCTGACATCAGCAATGATATCCTTTGTTCCACTTCTTCTTCTGAATCCAGCTTGTATTTCTGGAAGCTCTCTGTCAACATACTGCTGCAATCATTTTTGTGTTACCTTCAGTAACATTTTAACTATGTGTGATATTAATGATATTGTTCGATAATTTCCACATTCTGTGGGATCACCTTTCTTTGGAATGGGTACAAATATGGACCTCTTCCAGTTAGCTGGCCAGGTAGCTGCTTTCCAAATTTCTTGGCATAGCCAAGTGAGTGCTGTCAGTGTGGCATCCATTTGTTGAAACATCTCAATGGATATTCCATCAGTTCCTATGAATGTGTATATGAGCAGTTGATGGTCTGGTCCATAATCAGCTCCTGGCTTCATTTTGGCTGAAGATATCGAGCTTTTCCATTGCCTCTTGCCACAGATGTAGTCAATCTGATTTCTGTGTACTCCATCTGGTGAAGTCCACATGTACAGCCGCCATTTGTGTTGTTGAAAAAAAGGTATCTGCTATGAATAAGTTGCTGGTCTTGCAAAATTCTATCATGTGATCTCCAGTGTCATCTCTATCACCAAAGCCATATTTTCCAACTACCAATGATTCTTCTTTGTTTGCAACTTTTGCATTTCAATTACCAGTGATAATCAGCACATCATGATTGCATGTTTGGTCAATTTCAGACCACAAAAATTGGTAAAAATCTCCAATTTCCTCATTTTGGGCTTTGGTGGTTGGTGTGTAAATTTGAGTAACAGTAGTATTAACTGGCCTTCCTTGTAGGCATATGAATATTACCCTATCATTGATAGCATGTACATCAGGATAGATGTTGAAACATTTGCTGTGATAAAAAATGCCATGCCATTTCTCTTCAATTTGTCATTCCCGGCACAGTAGATCATATGTTTATCTGATTCAAAATGGGGAAAAATCATCCATTTCAGCTCACTAATGCCTAGGATATCAATCTTTATGCATTCCATTTCATTTTTGACAACTTCCAATTTTCCTAGGTTCATATTTTGTACATTCCATGTTCTGATTATCAATGGATATTTGCAGCTATTTCTTCTCATATCAAGTTGTGCCACCTCAGCAAATGGAGGCCCTGAAAGCTCTACTTTATCCATATCATTAAGATAGGCTCTACTTTGATGAGGCAGCACTTTCTCAGTCATATTCTGAGTGTCTTCTGACCTGAGAGGCTCATCTTCCGGCATTGTATAGGACAATGTTTCAGGGCTATTCATAAAGTTGTCTGATATTATATCAAATAGTGTTTCCCTGATATTCATAAGGTTTTCACTGGCCAATTCTTTGAGAAGTGGATGGCCTCTTCCTTCTTCCAAGTCTGTCTTAGTCTGGAAGCTCCGCTGAAACCCATCCACCATGGGCAACCATGCTGGTGTTTGAAACACTGGTGGCACAGCTTCCAGCCTCACAGCAACGTGCAAGCCACCACAATACAACAAACTGAGAATCAAGTTCATCTCCCTTAGCTGTTCCAAACCACTCTGATCACTTCCTGGCCTACGCCCTACCTGTTCTGGCCATGGGCCCTGGTTCCTGCTTCCTGCCTGGGGGTTCTCCTCTACTGATATATATGGATCAGGAAAAAAAATATATATATATATTATATGGAGAGAGAAAGAGAATAGAAAGTAAGTGTGATAAAATGTTAATTCATGAATCTGAGTGAGGGATTATTTGACAATGAAAGTTATTATCTAATTCTTGGTAGATCCATCAGGGTCAGTCAGTAAACAGTATCTCATCCAAAGGAGGTCTTTGTATAATATTTACAAGTAATATTCAGTCAATTCTTGCTAATACATTTCTGATGATAAAGAAGTGGGTGGTCTATAAATGTTTTATATACTACCTCAACTTAAAATAGGAGCTCTGCTGGCATAGTGCCTAAAGCATTTGATGGCTAACCAGAAGGCTGGCAGTTCAAACCCACTAGCCACTCCTTGGAAGGAAGATTGGGCAATCTACTTCTGTAGTGATACTGCCTCGGAAACGCAAGGAAGGGTCTCTATGAGTTGGATCTAACTTGACAGCAGTGAGTTTGGTTTAGTTTTTGTCAACTTAAAATGGATTTTTTAAGGTGTCTTACAATAAATATCACAGATACATTTAAAGAAAGAAAGAACAGAATCATAGCTAGCAAAGTAATGTCCATATTAAAGAAGGATTTCCTAAAAGAATGAGATTAAATTGGCTAATGCAGAGGTTCAGAAAATTAACACAAGATGTCATACCCCAGTGACCATGTTCCATTAGCAGTCCTATTGGGACACTGTCCTTTAACCATCTAACTATGCTCTGATCCTTTCCATGTACTATTGCCCCTATGATGCTGTTCCTCCTTTTCTATAAGTTGCAAAATCATCTTTCAAATCTTGTGCTGAAAATGGTCTATACCAGTGTTTCCCAAAGCATGAGCCATGTATGGGGAGCCAGCTGGTCTTAGGGAGTACTCTGTTATACAACACTTAACATGTAACTATATGGAGATTCCCTCTTCAGTTTTCTTTTTTTTTCCTTCTTTTTAAGTAAATACTTATTTTCACAGATATTCTATAGGTGGCAAGTGATGTGACCACTGACCAAACCAAATTAAACCAAACTCACTGCCATCAAGTTGATTCCAACTCACAGTGACCCCCTTTGGGTTTCCGAGATGGTAAATCTTTACAGAAACAGATTGCCCAGTCTTCCTTCCATGGAGTAGCTGGTGGGTTTGAACTGCCAACCTTCAGGTTAGCAGTCAAATGCATTAGGCACTAATGCTACTAGAGCTCCTTATGACCACTCATAGGAGTGGTAAAATATTTTCTCTCAAAATACCTTTATTTAAATGAATAGAAAAAGAGCCAATTTAAAGAAAAATAGTAAGTAAATAACAAAGCAAGGATATGACACTCAGTTGTAAAATACTGAGGTTTAAACAAATTTGACCGATGCTAAGCATAGGACACTTCCAAACTTGATTTACCAAACTAGAGAAATGAACCATAAGATTATGAATTACATGAAAATTCTCGTAAGAGATGCTAACAAGCTGAAATCAGTAAAGATAAAATTTTAGAAGGCAGTCCAATGCTTTCTTACATTATAAGAAAAACCAAAGTAAGATCATCTTCTATACATATATACTGCTTATCATTTTAACATTGTTTAGAAAAAAAAAACTTGATGTCTAAATGTAAATATTTTAGTCCATTTAAATCTGAAAAAGTTTGAAAAGGGAAAATGGCATAACCTACTGAACCCCAAGTATTTATACCTTTAAACGAAAACAAATATACTGCCTACAACAACAAAAAACCCTACTCTGAGAAAGTTCTAGGGAAAAACTATTAGGGCATATGTGGGCTATTTCAATTCCTTACAATTTTATCGCATTAAAAATTCAACCAGGTTTTAAAGAAGAAACTCTCATGTTTGGTTCTAAACCAGGCCTTACCAAAGGCTGTTGCGACTGCATTGCTTGGAGACCAAGGGTCTGACCCTGGGACTGCGAGGGCTGCTGGGGTTGTGGGGGCTGGGGAGGCTGCTGTATCTGCAAAGAAAGAGAAAGGATTATACACGTAAAAACAAAACAAAACACTGCCATTGAGTCGATTATAATTCACAGCAACCCCAATGGGTTTCCAAGGCTGTAAATCTTTACAGAAGTGGACTGCCTTTATCTTCCACCCTCAAGGCAGTGGGTGGGTTTAAACCATCATCCTTCTGATTAGGAGCCAAATGCCATACCCACTATTCCAACAGAGCTATTTATATACTTAAAAGCAGGGGTTTAATATCTTTCCTAAATACATATACATTTTATGTAATTATTTTCTTGCAGCAAAAATAATATATGCCTACCCCTTTCATCTCTGCCTTGTCAAATGCTATTCATCCTTCAAGGACCAAACAACAATCTGCTCCTCTAGAAGCCGTCTCAGGCCATTCCCAGCCCCAAGGATCTCCTCCTTCTACAATCACAGCCTACACAGCCCTGGTAATTTTTCATACACTGTATGGGACATCCTTTGTATATTTACTATTTAAGTTCTTTCATGTCATTTGCCTTTCCGTATATTTCATCCTATCACACACTATTAGGTTAGACAAAGGTTGATCTCGAGCTATCTTTTAATCCCCTGTGACATCTGGAAGAATCCTTGAAGATGAAATTAGATTTTTTTATTCTAAAGGAAGATGTATGCTGGCCCCTATGAGATGTGCAGTGACAAAGCTGGCTCACATACACAGCTCTCAGAAGAAACTTTCAAGTCACAGAACAAATGCAGACTAGAAACCCACTAGGTGGGCCATGCAGGAGAGGAAAATCACTAAGTGGTTTTTCTCAATGACCTTTAAAGTTTCCTTCACCTAAATATTTCTCTATCCTGGGACAGTATCCTAAAACCTTTTTTCATCCTTTGCATTTTCCAACTTGGCTTGCATATCATCCCCCAAATTATCTGGCTTCTCTAGAGCAAAATAATAGCTAGCAAAGATCAGATGGCTTTTCTCAGTAAGTGACAGGAATATGAAATCCTAGCAGAGGTCTGGGTGGGGTCACTTCCAACATGAGCAATGCAAGATGGGCACAGTGATTGCAATATGAAGTTCCCTCTCCACCTGGTTCTCTCTGAAGTCTAAGAAAAATCAACCTAACTTCACAATTATTAATATTTTCCTTTATGGAGGTAGCCAATCACCAAAAAAGACTAAGAGTATTCTGATCCAGAGGCAAGTCACTTTTTCCTTTAACTAGCTGCTGCAAAAAGTGACAGTGATTAAAAAAAAAAAATTTACCAAGAAGACATATAATGCTAATTGTGACAAAAAATACATATTTATCCAACAAGAAAAGATTTTCCAAATTTGCACTGAAAAGCACCAATGTAAGATAGGAAGCACAATGTAATGTACAACAGAAGTAATTCTGGTACTTCAGTGGCTAAGGCATTCAGCTGCTAATCGAAAGGTCAATGGCTTGAACCCCCCAGCCACTCCAGGGTAGAAAGATGAGGTAGTCTACTTCCATAAACATTTACAGCCTTGGAAACCCTATGGGGCAGTTCTGCTCTGTCCTGTAGGATTCCTAGGAATAAGAATTGATTCAGTGATGGTGGGTTTGGTTTTTGGTAAGATAGGAAGTAATAAGTAAACAGTGTAAAAATCTTTCCCAGTGATTTGGAAATTAGCAATTTTACAAGAGAGGAAAATGTAAGTCAGTCCTAAAACGTTCTGAGGCATATGCTCAAAACCTGGGAAAAAGGATCATGGCTTGAAAACATATCACTAGGGATATTAATAGTAATTCAAATGTAATAGTAAAATTACTGAAGTAGTACTTCATACTAATTTTCTAATTTAATCCTCATTATACATTCAAGAGGTAGGTCCTATAATTATTCCCATTAATGACAAAACTGAACATTAGAGGGGGTTATTCCCATCTTAGAGATGACATCTATATGATGAATAGAATTGGGAATCTAGAGGCACCTTCCCATACCACCCCACTCAAACCAATTACCATATTTTATCAACTGTATCATTCAACGCTTTTTTTTCCCCACATTTTAACAGGTCAAAAATTAGGATGCAAGTAAAAGCATCTCATGATTAATGGCATCTTGTAATTGTGAAACTCAGGTCTACAGAGGATATGTGTTTGCTTCTGCCTGTCACCTAGAGAAAGTATCAACAAGAACCTTTGGCATCACACTAAATCAAGACCTCAAACTGTCTTGAGCTTGTGGTTCATATTATCAGACGAGAAATTTTTCTTCCCTCTACTCAGTATAAAGTTTGAGACATGTAAGGGACTTTGCTGTCCCCTTCTACATGGCAGGCTTAATTCTCACTAACCTCACTCTATGCAAGGGCCTCCTGATAATGTCTCCATTTTTGGAGACTTTCTTTTTTCTTTCTCCTTTTCTTAGGGGTACATAAAGCAAGAGAGAACCTCAAGTTGTATTGCTGTTAAGATTGGAACTGACTGTAAAATCTCATCAGAAAATCTCCATTCCAATTAACAGGACAAGCTTGTTAGTAATGAAGACAAATAGAACAACTGAACATAACAGCCTACATATCTTTTTTTTTAAGTGATAGAATTATACTTGGTTAAATTGCAAAAGCCTTTAAGGAGCTCTGGTAGCATAGTGGCTAAAGCATTTGACTGCTAACCAGAAGGCTGGCGGTTCAAACCCACCAGCCACTCCTCGGAAGGAAGGTTGGGCAATTCTACTTCTGAAGTGATACTGCCTCGGAAACCCAAGAAGGGGTCGCTATGAGTCGGGGCTGACTCGACGGCACATAACAACAACAACAATAATATATCTTGAATAAGGAGGCTTAGCAGCAAGAGTCTGTCAAAGGGAAGAACTTTTTAAGTAGGAGAATCAAATACTTTCATCAAATTAAGAAAGACTATTTTTCTTGGTTCAACAGAATCAAGATTACATATATACACATTACTCACAGCTTAACCAGGTTAGAAGTCTTACAGAAACTTTTTTTGGATTGCTGACCCCTGCCAAGAATATGATTACAGCTCTGGACAACTCTCTTTTTTTAAAAGCACATATATGGAATTTTGCATTCAACTGATTAAAAAGTGATTACGTAAATGCAGGCTTATATTACTGGAAATGAAGGCATCCACCTGCCCTCTCAAATATTTCTGCAAGGAGAAAGATGATCTACAAATGCACCCTCCAGCCCATGACCTGGCAGATGAACTGAGAAAGGAAGAAACTAACCAGGTTTGAACTAAACTGCACTAGTATTTAGTATCTAATACACAGGACTCCTTGGAACTTGGAAAATAACATCTGAGGGTCTTCTATTTCTTGTGACTGCTATGCACTCACACAATCTGAAGAGGAAGCACCCAACATCCATTGCCTTCATTTCCCTGCCCCATACCTGGAGGAGTCTCTGCTGCTGTCGAACTTGCGGCTGTCTGGGCCTCATTGGGTCCTGAGGCAGCGGCACCGAGGGGAGGTTGGGATGTGCAGAAGTCAGCACGGCATCAATGGCCCCGCCCACTAGAGAGCTCTGCTGTAGGGACTGATGATTCAGTCTGGCAAAAACATAAGGCAACCTGTTTTCATGTTCAAGTACACTGTCAAGTTTTTAATCAGTGCCATTAGCACACTACAATCATTCTTAAAGAAACAACTTGTGTTCAATAATCACTTGTGCAACTCAAATGCAACAAAGGCCAGCGGTTAAAATAATCTTGATGTTCAGGGATAGATGTGGTTACTTGAAAAAGGAGAGAACATAATGGCAAGTACGCTCTTTTAAAAAATATTGGTAATAATTTTTAAGAAGTAATGTTAACAAAATGTTTACCCTGGGGCAAGTACTATACTAAAGGTTTGGAATATGTTACTTTATTTACTCCCACAATAGCCTTTAAAACAAACAAACAAAAAAAACCAAACTCACTGCCATCGAGTCAAATCCAACTCTCAGCGACCCCTCCTTGGGTCTCTGAGGCAGTACCACTATGAAGTAGATTGCCCAACCTTCCTTCTGAGGAGTGGCTGGTGGGTTTGAACTGCCAGCCTTCTGGTTAGTAGTCAAATGCCTCAGGCACTACGCCATCAGATCTTCCACAACAGCTTCTAGGGGTCAGTAATTTTATTATTCTTACTTTAAAAATGAGAAAAGGGAGAACTACAGAAGTAATTTATCCAAAATTGCTCATACAGTAAATGGCACAGGTTGATCCCAGTACTTTTGAATTCTTGAGTTAAAGTTCTCAAGCATTACGCTACATTGCCACTTATTATTAAAATGTATTCCAAATTAATTTTTTTCCCAAATGTGCTAATCCACTTTTTCGTTCCAATAGTGATTACTTGGAGTTGACATTCAGCCACTGATGGGAGCTATGTATGCTATTATCCACCATCATATGAAAGTTGGCATGAAACTTAGTTCTTCTATACAATCAGCATATCCAACAGAACTTTCTGCAATGACTGAGATGGTCTACACTTGCACAGTCCAATAAGGTATTCACTGGCCAAGAGGACTGCCACGTAATTTATGGGGCCCAGTGCAAAATAAAAATGCAGGCTCACTGATCAAAATTTAACAAGAATTTTAAGACAGTAACAGTAAGGCATTAAACCAGTCATGTTGTTGTGGTTGTTATTAAGTGTCATTTAGTCAATTTAGACTTATATAGTACTCCTGTGTGAAAAGGAGAACTGTCCCAGAGGATTTTCTAGGCTGTAATCTTTACTGGAGATTGCTAGGTCTCTTTCCTACATAGCCATTGGATGGATTCGAACTGCCAACCTTTCAATTAGCAGCCAAGTGCTTATCCTTTGCACCACTAGGGTTCTTTAACCAATCATGAGGACCTTCTTAGCACAGGGCCCTATGTGACTTCACAGGTCACATGCCTATGAACCTGGTCCTATTGGTGATATGTGACTAGTGAATAACTCAAATGTATCTGGTGTGACTGAGGAAATAAATTTTGTATTTAAGTTAGTTAAAATTTAATTTAAATAGCCACATGGGGCTAATGACTACTATAATTGACAAACAATGTAGTTACATCTAAGGGATCTGATTAGAACAAGAACACTGAAGAGTCTACCATGAACCCGTTTTGCAAATTACCTCGGAGACAGAAAAGGTAGAAACTAACATTCAACCAAATTCATATGAACACCATGGAAATCAGTATTGCAATTTTCTTAGTGACCATAAACTTCATGGCTCTAATTAACATGTTCTAGTAAGGCACCATTCACAATCATCAACACCTTACTAGATATCCATCAATAATTTTATACCTTAGAGATAAAGAACACTGGAGTGAACATAGTATTATCTTCTGAACATATTATACTCATATCCTGGAAGTGTGAATCAAATCTCCTGGGACTTGAATGAAATAAATGAGTCATTGCTCATTGTGAACCTCTATCATGATGCTACTCCAAATGATGTGAGAATGCAAATTATATGCAAATGTGAAAACTATAAAAATAATTATAAAGCACCATGTCTTAGAAGAAACATAACAAACATTAGAATGTGAGCGTTTATTAGAGCAATCATTCTTTCTGCAAGTGTCACCTCTGAGAGCCAGTCAAGGGCTGCAAGTATGGTGAGGCTTGCTGCTGAACATAGCCAGTGGGCTGCTGGTGCATCTGTCTGAGTCTCTCCATCAATGTGGGGTTGGAATGTGCTGCCGGGTAGGTCCTGGAGTTATAGCTGGGGGAGAGGACCACGCTGCCAGCCTGCTGTTGTGGTGTCGGCTGCAAAGGCATCTGCGTTCCGTACATCGTATAACCCTGGGGCATGGTCTGAAGACAGGCACAAGGGAAGAAGTCAAAGTTTGGTTTTACCAGCCTAGCTGGTATTATCACTAAGACATATAGGACAAAAACAAGCCTAGAAGGATCCCTTGAAATTCATTGTTTCCAAATGACTGCTTGACCTACAAATATGAGGAGGGTTACTTTGGAGGGTGTAACAGGAATGGTAATCTAAAAGCAGGAAGGCTAGCCAGAAGCTCTGTGAATGAATGCAATGTCAAATGATTCACCAGAAACTTCAATTTAAAATACGAATCCCTCATTTGATTAAACTGGCCTTTAAATCAGTTGCTTATGTTCAACAGAAGCAACAGCATATTTCTGCACAGAAATAAGCAGCCAAGTATCATACCTTTAGTCAACAGATGCCACCAATGTTCAAAAGATGCCAAGCATAGTTTATGTAATTTCCAACACTAGTCAGAAAAGCTACCCATGCCCAATGTAAATTAAAATAATAGAATACACTCTCCTGATATGTGGCTATGCCCCTCTGAATTTGACAAAGGTGTCTTTAGTATTTAACCAATTCCAAAAAACTACTAATACCTTAACTAGGGCATACAGGTGCAACTGGTGACTGTTCAATACTCTCTAGCCCTGGCTGAACCATGGTCTGTTTCAGCACTCTACCAGTAACCTGTTCACTATTTATATTCAACATTAATATACAAATACCTATTTCTCTAAATTTTGACACCGAATGTGAATGAAAAGCTGGAGGCTTTGCTGGATCACTGTCATCTATAGAACAGAGTGCTGATTAGAGAAGAATGCTGTTCTTCAAATCCCAAAAGCATCCCATTATAAGGTAGTCTAATGACTCTGACTTGGAAAACTGTGTTAAAGCAACATATTATGAGTTTTTAGCAGAGGAATAGCTCTAGGATGAATCCATTTCAATCATAGGTAGGTCAATCTCAGATTTCCTTTTCAACTGTGGACACAGTTTGAATTGCTGTTTCCAACTAGTGGTCTTGTTAATACCTTTGGCATTATGAGTGGGATAGGGAAATAGTATAAATGGCACAGGTATGAAATAATTCTCATAAAAAATTGCTCATGATTCATGGTACATTAAGACAAGTCTATCACTTGTTAAACATCTACTGTGTATCTGACACAGAGCTAGTTCCTTACACCAATTGTCTTAAACCCTTACAACCTCAATTCGATTTGACAGAACAGAAAAACAAGGTTCAGAGTCTGAGTAATCTGAACAATGTCACACAGGCAATAGGTTGTCATGAACTGTGCCAAGGTCTAATGCCAAGTCCCATTACTCTCTTATTCTACTATCACTCCTCTTTAAAACTATCTTTGAATATGACAATTTCAAGTATGAATTATATACTTAGTTATGATTAACATAGTTATTGTCAAGCATTTCAATATCCACCATTATCGTTAAAATGGAAGACTGAATTTAAATTTTTAATTCAAGAGTTTCCTAAAATATTTTATGCTTTTTATATTAACCAACCCTGAGACTTGTTCAACAACCACTGGAAGTACTTTTCTGAAACATAGATTATAATCTATAAGTAGAAGAAATAACCAAGTTCTGGACCCTTTAAAGGAATTGATACCTATTTGCTTGATTTGCCTCTTTAGAGAAACAGCATAGAAATCCTGGCAACATCTATGAAGCAACATAGATACCTGTGCTTGCTGCAGCCCTGGATACTGAGGGAGCTGAGGGGAGGGCCGAGCTTGTGCAGCAAAGAGAGCTGCCTGATCCCCCGGCTGGCCCTGGAAAACAAAGCCAACACAAACTCTTGATCATAACAGCTAGGGCAGGATTGGAGCACCTGGACAATAATCCCAATAACCCACAACAGCAAGACTCATTACATGAACATAGTACTTGCAGATGTTTCAATTGCATTAACTTTATTCATCAATTTCCTCTATGTGTATAGATTGGTGTACTTTAAAAAAAAAAAAAAAAACAAACAAAACCATATGCCCTCAAAGAAAACACAGACCTAAATGCAAGCCAAAGTACTCAATGATTTGGTCAGCAGGGAGGCTTTGAAAATGGTTCCCGATACTTTAGGGTTACAGATGACTCTCTGCAGTGAAAGGCATGAATCTCTGCATGTGAAATCTGATATCACAGGGCTGTACTTCCCTGTGGCCATAATGAAAGTGAACATACACTGTATAAAAATTTTATGACTTTTTTTTTAAAGTGACCAAAAATTAAGCCAAATTAGCCATGTATCTGAGGGATAAATTTGGTACCTTCTACAACTCTACTCATTAGGAGCCCTGGTGATACAGTTGTTAACCAGTTGGCTGCTAACTGAAAGGTGTGGAGTTCAAACCCACCAGGTGCTCTGCGGGAGAAAGATGCAGCAGTCTGCTTCTGCAGATTACAGCCCTAGAAACCTTGTGGGGCAATTATACTCTGCCCTATATGGTCATTATGAGTCAGAATCAGCTTGACTGCAACAAGTTTGGTTTTTGGTATTACTCTACTCATCAATGGGAGCTCTGGTAGCGTGGTGCCTAAGGCACTTGACTGCTAACCAGAAGGCTGGTGGTTCAAACCCACCAGCCACTCCCTGGTAGGAAGGTTGGGCAATCTACTTCGTAGTGATACTGCCTCAGAAACTCAAGGAAGGGTCGCTATGGGTCAGATCCGACTCCACAGCAATGGTTGCCTTCGTCGCTACTCATCAATTACAAAAATAGCTAACAGAAATTTATAACAAGTTAACAGCAAATATAATTATAACCAACTGCAATATCAAATACGATCACTTAACATCTGCTCACCAATTTTAATTTCCTACATGTTTTGGCCTTGGGAAAATAAACATAATCACTAGGAGCAGCTGTATGTGTGTTTTGTTTTGATGGCAGAAGGTATTTCATGGATGCTTGCAGCAATAATCAGAGAGAGAGGTCCAGCTTCCAGGAGTTTTAACTATAAAGAATGGGGCTCATTCTGGGATTATTTTATTATTGTTTTATAATGGGATACCTATTCATTTTTAAAAAGTACCAAATTATAGTTACAGCAAACCATTTCAAATGTGTTTGTAAAGTAGTGTAGATCTCTCCAGCAGGGAGATGGGGATAAGCCAGCTTAAGAGGGAGAGCATCAACAATTATTAGCACCAACGACAGGCTAGGAACTGGGCTTCCAGTTCTTACTCTCAAGGAGTTCTTGCTCTTATCAAGGAAGGTAACATCTTCCCATTTTCTTCAGATGAGAAAAGCCAAGTTCAAAGAGCTTAAGAAACTTATTGTGTGTACCTGGCTAGGCAGGCAGAGCCATGATCTGGATTCTGGGAGTCTGACTCCAAAGCTCAGCCTCTTTCCACTATAATATGATCCCCTTTATGTGTAGTATTAAGGATGGCAATAGTTGTTTATTTGGTACTTATTCTTTAGCAAGATATAGCCTCTTAAAATTGCCCCAATTCAGAAACTGAGAAGTAAATCACTATTAACATTTGTTAATGGTCTACGGATCAACATTGAAACCAAATACATGCATCAGATGGTGACATCCCTTCTTGATTTCCACATGAAATCACTTGGGAGCATTTATGAAACTTAAGATTCTCCTAAAGTGACTATCTAAGGAACTCTGGTGGTACAGTGCCTAAGGCATTTGACTGGTAACCAGAAGGCTGGCAGTTCAAACTCACCAGCCACTCTGTGGAAGGAAGATGGGGCAATCTACTTCTGCAAAGATTACTGCCCCAATGGGGGTTGCTATGAGTCAGAATAGACTTGATGGCAGTGGGTTTGGTTTTTTTTGTGGGGGGGGGGAGGTGACTATCTAAGGAGCTCTGGTAGTATAGTGGTTAAGGTATTTGGCTACTAACCAAATGGTGGTCAGCACTTCAAACCCACCATATGCTCCATAGAAGAAAGATGAAGCAGTCTGCTTCCATAAAAATTTATAGCATTGGAAAGCCAACTGGGGTTGCTATGAGTCAGAATAGACTCAATGGCAGTGTCGTCTTTTTTTTTTTTTTCCTGGAAGGTAACTACTCCATAGATCAGCCATGAATTTCTCAGTGAACCTCACAACGGGACCTGTACATTAACACCTTCAACAAGATCCTAACTTGGCAGAATAGGTTAAGGTAAAGACATCCTAAGCTATTAGCTGATTAATCTGTTAAATCCAACTGTGTCTCAAACTTTTCATTTGATTATTTGAGAACCTTATGAAACAAACTGTGGCTGTGGGAGGAAAAACTAGAACACTAATAAAGTAAATATCTGAATTACTGTGAAATACTCTTTTGTGGACAAATATCACCTGAAATCATGAAGATTAAAGAAATATGAATTCAAAACTATTCTACAAAAATATGAAAAAATTACCAAAGGAAAAAAAAAAAAACAGTTATCTTTGTAAGAAGCATGGAGAAAAGAAATAAAAAATTTCCAAATACAATTTTGACCATCTCAAATTCCTAACTCTCATTGACATCTAAAAGTACACATTAGTTCCCTCCCACCCAGTTTTTCCTGACTCGATGCTTAAGCATAGTTATAATTTAGATATGCAATAATCTCTCTGAGGAAATCTTAAACTCCCCAAGTTGGTTACCTCTGCTTGTGTTCTGCCCATACACTGCCCTGAACAGAAAATACCCTTATTTCTCCCACCAGATTGGTCTCTTATCTTTCTATTTTCCCCCCCAAAATTATGCACATTATTTCAATTTTGCAGTTAAATTTGCTGAGGAAGGAACAAGGAACTAATCAAATTTCTTCAGTAACTTGAAAAAGTTTGCAAATGCTAAAAGAGAAGCAATATAGGCATAAGTGAGGACATCAAGACAGAGAATTAGTAGAAATTTTTGACGTTGATGAAAAGTTTTGTTTCAAGATGTTCAATAAATTAGGAAGGGACCATACAATGTATCATCCAAGCTGGGATATTTTGAAAGAGAAAGAAAGTACTATTCATAAGAAGCCAGAACAACAGGTGCAAACTGGGACCGTGTCAAGCAAATCAGGACATATGGTCATCTTACTGATAGATAATCCACTTATTATTTTTCTGAAATCTTTCTAAATTTTATTATTCATCATTTCCCAGCAGTGTTAGAAGGGACCAGTCCCTTGACCATACTTGTTAGAGGGTCAGTGAAAAAGAGTAAGACTTCAACAAGATGGATTGACACAGTGGCTGCAACAGTGGGCTCAAATATGGCAAGAACTGTTAGGATGGCACAGGACTGGGCAGTGTTTTGTTCTGTTGTACACAGGGTTGCTATGAGTCAGAACTGACTTGATGGCAGCAGCAACATACAGTCTGGCATATAGTAAGTGTTCAATAAATATCCTTTGAGAAAAAGATTCAGTTTATTTGTTAACCAAGATATTCAGAGGTAAGTTAGGAATTATATTTTCAGGATAAATTTCGTTATCAAGTGTTTTCCAACTGTCTCATATATTATAGTACCATGTTTTGTTTTGAAACTCAATGAATTTGCCATATATCATTCTAATGATATCTTATTCCTGCCCGCAATACCATCTGGAGAGTAGCATTAGGTCCTCCACTGAATTTATTCTGGAACCATAGTGGTACAGTGGTTAAGCTCCTGGCTGCTAACAGAAAGGCTGGTGGTTCAAATCCACCAGATACTCTGTGGGAGAAAAACATGGCAGTCAGAGCCCATAAAGATTTTAGCCCTGGAAACCCTATGGGACAGTTCTACTCTGTCCAATAGGGTAGCTATGGTTGGAATCAACTCAATAGCAACAGGTTTGAATAATGGGTTTTGATATATTCTGCTTAAGCAAAACAATGAGGCCACATTAACTTCGTATTTTTATGCATGGGAAGGATAGTCCAGGAGGATGATTTTTGACAAAATATTTGTGTCAAGCCAGGTATCATATGACCTTGCACCCATCTTAGGAGAGAAAATAAGATATATTTGTGCCTCTGATCAGGCTGCTGTGGCTCAGGTACCTGACTTGTATTTTATGAAGGGAATAAACCATGGTTAACCAGAAAATTCTGATAATTACATCAGCTTATCCCTACCTTACTATCCTGAGCTAAATTCCTACATACATTTATTTTTTGTTCATTGTTATGTATTTTGCTTTTGATTTGCTTCCGTAAGAGATATATAAATCCATAAGCTGCTAAAATTTCCACCTTCTAAGAACTTCTAAAGAAGCTGTTATGTTTCAATATTGGCTCATCTTCCTAGCCTCTCTGAGAATAAATCTCTTACTGCTTTATTTTTAATTGGACAGGAGAAATATCTGAGGTCCAAGAGATGTTCACTCTGAAGACTTGTATAATTTGGAAATAATACATCTGGGAAGTTTAAAATTTTTGGCTAATCACCCTCGAACATAATTTTCACTCTTCTGGGTCCTGTTCTCTTCTCCATTAGCAATTATTCCTTTACTCACTTGAGCAAACATGAGTTCTCTTTCTATAGGAGCCTTGATCATGCTTTCAATTAGCAGACAGTAAGCTGTGTAATCAAAATTGGTATTTTAAAATCTGTATTTTTCTACACACTGAATTTACTAGTAATGAATTTTTCAAATCCTTAGTAAATTGTTTTTAGTAGTGTTTTAAGGGTTGTTAAGGAGAGAAACAGGTTATATCTGGAAAATCAGAGTCAGAATTTATGATTGTGCTTCTGAAAATACATATTTAGGAAAAATCATAAAAATCACACAACAAAAGCCAGTGGGTAATGTTTTATGAGTCACCTACCAGAAAGGGCTTTATTCATGGATAC